TTATCAACATTATGTTGTTCTTTCTGAAATTCTTTAATTATTGTGTAGACTCCAACATGTGCACGACCAACTAAAGACTCCCAATGTCGATGCCATATTTCAACCTTGTTCTGTGTTCTTTGGATGCTAGCTTCGACTAAATCAAACACAGACTACAATGTTGGAGAGAATAAAGGTGCACTTCATGACACATTGCCATTTAATATATTCGACGTACTCTTCTATAAACATAATACTTCTCAAACCATTGAATAATATTTCTTGCTTCAGGGGTATTTCTATCTTTAATATATCAAATGCAGCAGGAATTTCGGCTGGTGGTAGAAATGCCAAAGCAAATAATTGGTGTATTTTCAAATTTAAATGATTATCAGTACCATATTGAACAGATAAGCCTGACTCTTGTACCTTTCTTCAACCACTTTGTGCAAAGTGAAAAAAGCAGCCTTTGTTTGTTATACCTGAAAATGCATCACGAGATGCATTAATGGCTGCAATCTCAAAATCAGTGATAATCTTTAACAGTCTTAATATAATTCATTTTTGCCGCAAAGTCATTTAGATCTTGAAACAACTGCATATAGAGCTCTTCTGATTTAGTGCTCATAAGAGCATAAATGAGTAGAAAGATCTGAGAGTTTTCACTTGGACCAACAGGAGCGTGGATAGTGTAAAGCTGACGAAACACTATAGGGACAGTTTGAAATGTTCTAAAAAGATGCTTGAGACAAACGTTGTATATTAGTTTTAGTTGTAAATATAAGAACCCGACCTAGTCCAACTTGTGAATCTCTAATAAGAAACAAGTTCTTCTTTTAAAGTATATTGAAATGGAAGTAGTACATCGACTTCATCAAGAGTTTGAGGTTGTGGGGGCATTTCAGAACTTCTAATGTGCTTTATTCTCATATGAAGTGCATCCTTTGAAGGTATATTAGATACCAAATTTTCATCAACAGAAGCAATATTATTTTGGATAATCTGAGCAGGTGAGTCATGAGTTTTTCTTGCTTGTCGTTTAATACGTTCAACTATTACAGCCACTTTACTACTACTTGCTTGAGGGGAGTGTTCGTGCTTGGCAGTTTTTTAAGAAAATGTGAAATATTAGAAAAGATAATTACTTCATGGCCTGGACAGTTTTTAGATCTTTTTTTTTCACAGCTCCAGTAATAAGTATTTTCCACAGAGCGTTCTTTAACTAACAAGAAACCGTGAACTTTTAGTTTTACTTTTCCTTTTTGAGAGGTAACAGTTTTAAAAATTTCGTTTATATTGACACGTTCAAGAGTAAAAAGCTTCTAAAAAATTTTTTTTACTTATATATTTAATTAAATATTACAACTCCGCTGACCAAAACAAATCAAGTATAACAATTTTAGAGATAATAGAAAAATCAGATAAACCTTCCAATTATACGATCAATAGAGATGAGCGAAATTGATATGTATTCTTATCTGATATTACTTAATATTATTTGATTTTTTTGCAAATA